AACTCGTGTTTTAATGTGTTCTGTTTATTTCATCTGTTTCCGGTAGAGCAAATAGAGATGGCATGGAAAATATGAACCTTGCGGTTAGAAAGATCACCGGTTTAATTGGTCATTTTTGTTGTAGTTAAATAAAAACCACAGCAGACAAGGAAAAACTGAAAAAAACTCAGAAGACTTGCTGTTTTTTTGCATTCTCACACAGACATGACTCACACGAAAGAGAGGTAAACACCAAACACGGGTGCTACCAGTGACATCATAGGCTCTATTCCACATTAGCTCCAGAGTCTTAAGGTGATTAGGAACACCCGTTTTTACCATTTTGTGTCAAACTGGCTATTGTAATAGGTGCATTAGTCTCGCTGTACAACCGGACACAAGTGTATTAATCAATGAAAAGTACTCACTCAGCATCCTGATGGGGGAAGGCTTTCTCGCTGCACTGACAGCTGTCAGAAACCGAGCGTAATTCATGTTTCCTGTCAAATTACAAGGTGAAAAATATCAGCTGCCTCTCCTCACACAGCGGGGTTATCTGCCCATTAAGCTTACACCTCCTTCCACAGGCTTTCAGTGAAGCATTTACGCTGTTTCTGTAAGTTAATCTGTAACTGTAGCTCTTAACTGAGCCAGCGGCTATGGTAGAAATGTGTTACCTTTTTTTGGTATGTAACGTAAAAACAGATTCATATCTATATATACATATATCTATATATAGATATATAAACCCGAAACAGCTATAAGGTGAGCTAACACGGACACACACCATGGGAGGCTACAGTGAACACAGGACTAAACATATCATAGGTGTAAACAATTATTTTAACTGTAGTTATGACATTTGCTCTACCACACTCTGCAGTGTAACTGACCTTGCGCGTGTGGCAGAATCGGCGCGGGGGCTTCTGGTCAGTGTATTTCTAGATGCGTGGCGACTTTCTGTGGTGGTTAGCGCCGGTGACCGCTTCTTGAACTACATTACCCAAGATGTACTACAAAGAAAAATATTAACGCCTGCCTGCTTACCGGGCAGAAATGTCTGGATTTTCTGTTGTACGAGTCTGTGTCACAAAGCGTTAGAAATTATTTCACGTTAAAGAAAATATCGGCTGCTCGACATTTCACAGATGCAAAGCCTGAACGAGACGTTGTGCAGCAGTCTCTGGTGAATGTTTATTCCTCTGGTCCCCGCTAGGGTGCAGTGAAGCGCGGGAAAGCGGAAACAGCAGGAAAACGACGAAGAAGCGGAACTTCCGTGTTGTTCAACATGGAGTGAGAAAATGTAGCGTAATCTCGCTTAGTTAATATCTAAAGTGAGTTAGTTAATGTTTTGTGTAGCGTTTCTTCTCCAAAGTTTATTGGTAATTCGTTTTTTATTCGTTTATTTTGAGCCTTTTGACTATATTAGCAGTTGTTTGATGCTAGCAGAGGAGGCTGAATGAGGCCGCTCAGTGTTTAAGCTTTAATGTTTGTTTACCGTGAGGTTTCTGCTGCTATGTAAGCTGCTTTTGTTTCGTCGTTTCAATGGGAAAAAGGAAAGACATGATTCACCCCAGATTTCTCGGTGAGTATTTGAGAAAGCTTGTACTGTTGCAGTCGCACGTTTTCGTATATTCTTTCCTTGTGCTTAAAGTCTCCAGTTTGTCTGCTTAAAACCACAGCCTGCAAAAAGCTGGTTAAACATATCCATAAAACAAAACAAAACATAAGCGCATCTAAACCAGGGGTGATCTCTTGGAATATCCCATCCTCATATAAAGCTTAACGTGGGCCTTTTGTAGTGGCTGGCCTCCGTTTCTAGCAGTAAATGGAGGCTGTGTGTGTTGATAGTTTGGGGGGGATAACAAACAGGAAGTTTGGCTGATATTTTGAAATGCATCTTAAACAAATGTTTATAGGAGAAACCTCCAAGTTGGGACAAAACATGTCCCTTCACAGTTTACTTTGTAGATTTAAAGAGTTTCTTACAGCAGTAGAAAAGGTCTTTTCGTTGTTGTGTTTTTTTTTTTAAATCTGCCAGCATTCAGACTGTGGGTCAGTTGTGAGCCCAACAACACATAAACTACACACAACAAATGTTGTGTGATTTGGAGACGGTGGCACTGACAAAAAGGCAGGTGGTTGAGCTGGAGATGTTAAGATTTTCAGTGGGAGTGACCAGAATAGACAAGAATAGAAATGAATGTAACAGAGGGACAACTCAGGCCACACAGAAAGGGAGAGAGGCAAAGCTGAGATGGTGTGGCTATGTACAGAAGAGGCGTAGTGGATATACTGGACAAAGGAGAGATGGAGCTTCCAGGCAGGAGGGGAAGACCACAAAGCAGGTTCATGGATGTAGTGATGGACATGGTGTGACAGAGGAGGATGATAGGAATACATATAGGCAGATTATCTGCTTCAGTGACCTCTGTAGGAGCGGCCACTCTATTAAAAATGGCAAACTAGAATGAAATATTTTTTTGCCGAATGTATTTTTTTTTAAAAAAGGTGAAATCATATTGTTTTTACTCTGAGCTGATTCATTTGTAATTTTATTGTTATAGGGTTCAAACCGAGTCTGTTTATTAGACCTTTTAAAAGGCAGCCATCACTGAACAAAGTGATGTAATTAATGTAAGTAAGTAATTAAAAAATTACGTGGTTTTTAAAAGAACACACACAAATAAAACAAGAAAAATAATCAGAACCTGAGAATAGAAAGGGATTTGTTTGTTTGTTTGCTTTTTAATGAGGTTGATGTTTCCAATGCAGGTTATTTTACTTGTGTCACATTATTCCTATGTTAAATACATGTTGGTATATGTTGTGATGGAAAGCTGAAAGACTTGGAAACGGTTATCTCTTGTAATGAGTTTCTTTGTTTACCTGACTCAAAGGGGGATATAAATGACACAACTAGATCCAAACATGTGGATTGTTTATATTAAAACCAACTTGGAGTTCTGATTCTTGACCTTTGATTTCTGGTTCAATTCTGTAGAAAACAAATTAGAAAAACCGTCTGGCTCTGTGAATCTGAATTTGATAAGCAGAAGATGAATGGATGTGGGTGTAAACATTTTATTTGAAAAGAAATCATTTTGCGTTTTAGCTCATCGAGCTGATGGACCTTACGCTGTGGCGAGGTGTCTGTTCTTCCACAGTTCTCCTCCTACATATTTGATCAGAATTTAATCAAACTTGCACACAGTGATTGTCTTATCATTGGGTTTTAACCTAAACTGTGCTCAATTAGCCATTTAAAAGTTCTAAATTGTGAACTGTGATGTACCATGAGCTGGATGAGCAACTAACTCACTGGCGGTCTTTGTATTAATCTGTGCTTTGTCCCGTCCTCTGCAGGTGAAGGCGGCTCCAGCCTGCACAGCGCTCACAAGCGGAAACACAAAAAACACAAGAAGCACAAGAAGAAGCACCACAGCTTCCCCGAGGTGCCGGAGCCTGAGCCTGTAGTGGTGCCTCGGCCTCCGCCGCAGCTCCGACTGAAGATCAAACTGGGAGGACAGACGCTGGGAACCAAGAGGTGAGACGTTTGAGCCAGATTTCAGTATCGATAACTGTTCATGAATCAGTTTGATCAGTCAGTTAAAAGGACATTGTGCTCTCCAGTGTTCCCACTTTCACCGTCCATCCTGGTGTGGCTCGTCCACCCTCACCTTTAATGATCATTGACAACAACGTTGATGACGACGATGATGACGACGATGAAGATGATGATGACGAGCCCTCTGTTCCTTTGGAGCAGTATCGAGCCTGGCTCGGTGAGTTAGCAAAACAAGTGGACTCAATTCTAATATAGGAGGAGGGATGACCTCAGCTTGATCGGGACTGTTGACACTTCATGGATGAAACCATGAAGGAAGTCATATTTGAAAGAAATGATTACTAGTTCCTGCTGTTTAGTTTCAAGTTTCTGCCAACCTCCTGAGATCTAAGCTCCTGTAAAAGCTTTGTTGCATACTTTAAAAAAACCTGGTTTTGTTTTTTTCTGGCAGTTTTGTTGGTTTTTTCTGCATGTGTTTGTCACACACGTCTTTGACATACTATTTTTATGTTAGAAATGGTTCCTTTGCCAAAGATTAAAACATTTGTGCTGTTTGTTGCGAGATATTTTCTTATTCCCAAATACTTACTGCTTTTGTCTAATTTGGTCATGAACTGAATATTTTTTTTAATCACCTGGACAACATCCTCTGATATTTACAAACCAGTTTATAAACTGTGGTTTGAAAGAAATACTCCACACATTAATAAGTATAATCTGCCTGCATCCTTACATGACTCCAACTTCAGAGCTGAAACAAACAGTGATGTCTGAGAATCTGCTGATGGTACAGAATAGCACAACAGAGCTTGATCTTGATTTTATTTTAGCCTTGCAACAAAGACTGTCTGTTTGTCTTGATTGTTTTGTACCAGATGAAGACAGCAACCTGGCCACATCCCCTCTGCCGGATATGGACTCAGATTCCATGCTGGGCGGGCCCGTGGACGAGGAGGAGCGGTGGCTGGACGCTCTGGAGAAGGGAGAGCTCGATGACAACGGAGAGCTGAAGAAGGAGATCGATGAGTCTCTGCTCACCGCCAGACAGGTGAGAAGCAGCTGTCAGTGTTGTGGAGAACATTTTCACCTGTGCCTGACTTTAATATGAAAGGTCTTCCAGCATTTGAAATCAGGGGTAAAACTTTTTTTTTTTTTTAAAGTAGCTTAAAACATGTTTTTCTTTCCTTGTCTCTCCCCCTCAGAAAGCTCTGCTACACAAGCAGCAGAGTCAGCCTCTCCTGGAGCTCCCCATGGGCTACAAGGAGAAAGAGATGACCGCTGAGATGATGCAGAAGCGGGAGGAGCGTGCCCGAAAGAGACGCCTGCAGGCCGCCAAGAAGGCAGAGGAGAACAAGAACCAGACGATAGAGAGACTGACGAAAACCAGCAAGGCCAAGATCAAAAGCATGAAGGAGAAGAAGTCCAAGCAGAGCCAGTGCCCCATGGTTCGGTACAGCGATTCTGTCCAGGGAATGGCCATCTCCTTCCCAGCAGGGGTCCCCGCTCCTACCCCGGCGCCTCCCTGCCCTCCTCCTCCAGCCCCATTGAACTGTGGAGTGAGCGGGTGCACAAACCTCAAGAAGTACTCGTGCTCAAAGACCGGAGTTGCTCTCTGCAGCCTCGAGTGCTACAAGAGGAACCTCATGCTCGTGCAGAGCGCAGCGTGAACCCCAGACAGTTGAGTTTATGCCACCCTGGGATGTGACGATGGCGAGTATTCATGCTCGTGTATTTACGTTAACAGGACACTGGTGACCGTGTAGTGGTAGGAAGGTGATTTTGGACTTTCCTGACCTGTGTGAGGAGACTGTATATCAACATGCTTTTTTCATGTGTCATGATAATGATTCTCTGTGGAGCTGCTCGTCCAATTATGTACAATATATATATATATATTTTAAAAAGATCAATCTGTGTACAAATCGAATATTCAGTAATTATGATTTGTAGAACATCGTCATTGTTGGTGCAGATAAAGTGCATCTTTTTGGTTTCTGAGTTTTGAGAGTAGCTGTTTCCACTTTTCGTTGTTAATAATGTGAAAAAACAAATCGGTCTGGAAGCAATAAAATAATAATAATTTTCCTTTTTAATGTTCATTCATTAATGTAACAAATGAGTCAATTTCCTTACAAAACTGTACAAAGTTTAAATTAAGCAACTGAAAGGCATTTTTACATCACTGTAAACTGTTTGTGAAAACATCACTACACCCCTGTGTGCTGTGTCCGCGTGGACATGTACGCTGCTGCTGCTGCAGGAAGGTCTTGCATGAGTTTCTGCATAATGGCGTCATGAGGTATTCCCTGATTGACTTGAGTGGATTTTCATGTGCACATAAAAAATGTGTCTAGGGTCTTTTATATGTGCAATAAGGTACAAAATAGCAGTCAGCCTAATATCACTGTTGAAAAAAAATGTAAAAAGGCTCCCTACATTTATGCTCGCGTGCTTTGACAAGCGTCACAATTTGAATTATCTTCCTGAGGATGTTACGGATGCTTCACTGGTAAACGAAGTCTTAACGTTTCTGTTCATCACTGCTGCTGATCTGGTGCAGAAGAGGATAGCGACAGGTCACAAAGCCAAACCAAAGGAGAGTCTGAAGGCCATTTCCACGGGAACCTCGGGCACAGAGTCATGGAAGCACACGTAGAACTCCTGAGGAACGGGCTCCAGCAGCATGCGTCTGAAAGCCGAAGGAAGGAGACTGAGATGAGAAATTCAATTTACTTAATTTATATAGTGCCGAATCGTAACAGCAGTCGCCTCAAAGACTAGTCTAAGGTAAAGACCGTACAATAATAGAGACAAACAATCATATGACCCCTTATGAGCAAGCACTTGGTGACAGTGAGAAGGAAAAACTCCATCAGAACCAGCCATCTGCTCTAACCAGTTGGAGGTGAGGGGAGGAAGACGGAGGAAAAAAACCAAAGATAGCCAGATATGATTAAATGCAGAGTATAAACGCAGTGAGTGAAGAAGACACAATGCATCATGGGAATCCCCCAGCAGCCTACACTTATTGCAGCATAACTAAAGGAGGATTCAGGGTCACCTGATCCAGCCCTAACTATATGCTTTACCAAAACGGAAAGTTTTAAGCCTGATCTTAAAAGCAGAGAGCCAAGTGCTCTAATGAGGTGATACTGTACTGTAAGGTCTTTAAAACAAGGTGGGCCATTATTATTCAAAAGCTTGTATGTGAGGAGACAACATATGATATATATAGTGTATGTGAGAATGAGGCGGGGGCACATTTACAAAACGCCTTGGATAGAAACAAGAAATGTTAAAATTCATGTTATGAATCGACAAAGGAGCTCAGTTAATTCATTCTAAATTGTTCCCCTGTGACCCTTCCTTACAAATCCCGTTTTAACTCCATCTCTAATCTGCCTGCCCCTCTCCTCTTTGACTTACTGAGACTGGGAGTTTTTCCAGGATAAACACAAAGTACCAACATCGGGTCCAACATGACGAGTTCCCCGTCTCCTCCCCGTGTTTCACTGAACACACTGCACAATGCTTCGTATTCATTTCAGCCATTAAACAGCAGACTGAGAAAACAGAGTTACTGGAAGTCTCCCTGAATGGGACCGAGACCAGCTTTATCCTCCAGTAATATTATTTACTAAAGCTATGAATCAGGTTTGGCTGCTCGATCATTCAGGTGAAGACAGAAAGTTGAATGGTTGCAGTCCCCAGATGAGGACTCAACCTGAGCACACTTCATTGCTCCAGCTGCCGCCTGAATAATCTGAACATGTAAACCTGTGCGGTTAAAAAAGCAAATAAGTGGATAAGTGGAAGCTGACGTACCCAATGACCCAGTAAGTCATGGTGGGAGCAGGTTTCTTCTGGTCGGTCCAGTTCTCGGGTTTACACTGAAACAGAACCCCGTGTTCTTTGACGGGACCCAGACCCCAGCCGCCGCCCTGCGGCCTGTCTGCTGCACGGCGGCTCTACGCGAAACAAAAATCACACCAACAATCACCTGATTCATTCAACACATTAATGCGCAGAATACAGAAAACGCCCGCTGAGCCCTGCAGGAAACGGGTTTCCTTTAACCACAGTGGAAACTTGTGTTTCCACACCTTAGTCTCTCCATGCTGGGTAAAGAAGTCCTGACCAAAAAGTTACTGTTGAGGGAAATGTGAGTCTGTAGCCTCCGTTAATGTGTAAGATCAGGAAAATCTGCTGTATTCATGATGGTCCTGATGTGTTTGTCTATGAAAGAAATCCCAGCGAACCCTTTTTATTGTCAGCGGCAGAAACGAGCTTCCACACAATTCTGGAAACCTCACACTTAAAGGAAACACCTTTCTGTCTCACCCTGGCTGGCAGACTCTGCTGGAAGGCGGCTCGTATGGAGAGGCAGCAGTGGTGGAAGTTGCGAATGAGCTGTGGGTGAATGGAGCCGCTCAGCTGAGCCACCTCTCTGTGAGTGGGAGCGATGAAGATTCCCTGCACGGTTTCCATCAGGACGTAGTGGAACAAGGTGTTCTCTGCACCCGATGTTAGTCTGTGGCAAACACAGGACCTCAGGTCAAACTGAAAAGAGATCGTTTTTATCTGGTTAGTAAAAGGAACCGGATAACCGGTCACTTACTTCATGGTGTTGTACATCTCCTCTGTTTCTCTCTCAGTCAGGGTCTTCTTCAGGGTGCCCAGGTAAAAAGGGTTTGGGTGCTTCATCCTGGGTATCTGATAAAAACATATAAAGTGTATCAAAATGTCAAGGTTAAATAAAATCTGCTTTTAATTGGCTTTTAGACAAAAAAACATTTAAGCCACTCTCACTTTACCTATTTAAAAAGAAATTCTATTAGTGTGCTTTTAATTTCTTTAAAGTTAATGCAGTCCATCGACTTCCAGCTTTGTTCCCTATAACTTGTTTTATTTGTGACCAGCTGGCTTGTTGCAAACAATTCGGGCAAGTTTTCTGCATTTTCAATGAAAATACTTTGAGCCAAACCTTGTTCAAAACCTCTGTGTTCAGCACTTTTCCATTTATGTGCAGATTTATTAGAAAATAAATGAGATATTTCACATCCTGTAACAAATTTAATTCACTGATATTGGCTAACAGATGAAAAAATAAACAGGAACAAATATAAACTCCTTAAAAGATTACAGATGAACCTTGAAGAGTCCTCCGCTGCCTCCGCTCCCATCAGACCCTCCAGACCCCAGCGAGTCCCGACGACCTCCCAGCTTCCTGGCTGAGTCCGGTGTGGAATGTGGACTGAGGCCTGGAGCCGCTGACGAACTGGACCCCGACCCGGCATCCATCTGCCCCTCGCTCCCGCTGTCCGACAAGCTCCTCTGCGGGCTGGCCCTCCACGACTTCTCCCCAAACAGGGTGCGAGCTCTGTACCCGGACGAGGAGGCTTTAACGGCACCGGCGAGCTTGCTGAAGACGGGCGAGGAGGAGGCCAGGCTGTCGAGCCGGTCACGAGCTGTGGCAGCAGGGAGGAACCAGTCGGCGCAGGACAGGCAGGGAGCAGGCGGAGCATTCAGACGCTCTTCGATACCTGGTTCCAACACCTCCAGCTGCAGCAGGGTGGCTTTCACCTGGGGGCCAGAACAACACAGAGCTTCAGTTTGACGTAAATGATCATGGCAGGAATTCATCTTCAGGTTTAAAAAAGCCCACCTGATCAATGTAAACACAATCAGGTCCAGGAGAGCCCAAAGCTGGGGAAGCACAGCCGCCTGCTTCCAACAGTACACACTGCATAAAGTGTCTCTGAGGACAGAGGGAAAATGATATCATGAAGAAGCATCGATACTGGCAGATAACACACATGGGCAGAGACTGAGGAGATGAGGCAGAATTACAGTCATGATAAAAAACACCCCATGACTGCATAGCTTGTAGAACTACCTTTAGCAGCAACAACTTGAGGCAGCTGTTTTCTGTCAGACTCTCACATTGAGTCGGATGAATTTTGGCCCACTCTCTGTGTATAATGTTGCTTCAGTTCATCGACCTGTTATTGAGGCTTGCAGGTATTCATCTTTCTTAAGGTCCCACCACAAAATTTATATCAGGCTGGACTTTGACTGGATCGCTGTGACACTTTTTTCTTTTATAGCTACTCTGTTGTAGATGTGCTGCTGTGCTCAGGATCAATGTTCTGTGGCATTACTCAGTTTAGGCCAAGTTTAAAGCTTCTCAGACGGCTGGCTTCACATTTGACTCAAGAATATTTTGGTATACAGAGGAATTCATGGTCGTCTCAAACACTGCAAGATGCCCAGGTCCTGTGGCTGCAACCCAAACCCAAATCATCACCCCTCCACCGCTGTGCTGACAGCTGTTATGAGGTGTTGTCCGAAGAACATCAACTAGAAGTCTTGTGGTTTGTTCAGATCTAACTTTGCAAACATAAGCCATGTTGTTATTATATTTTTAGAGAAAAGAAGCTTTCTCCTGCAAACCCCTGTAAACAAACAGGTTCCAAAGACTGTCATGAACTTTAACATTTAACATGCTAACTGAGAGTCTGAGTCTGAGATGTGGCTCTTGTTTTTTGTTGGTTTTTGTGCAGTTTCTCTCAGCATTGCACCGTCTGTCTCACGTCCACTCCTGGGAAGACTGACAACTGCCTCGAATGTAAATAATCTTTTTTGCTCTACAATGATGGATTTCCAATTGATTGTCTTCCCTCCTTGGAACTGCGTTAACACACACCAAAACAATGTTCCCTCTAAGCTGCGCGTGTGCGCAATTGTGCACTGCTGGCACGGTCTCTGCGCACAGAAAATCTGTGTTGCGCACAAAAAAAATAATCTAACCTGAATTGAAATTCAAATTCAAACTTTAACAATTCTGTTTTGCAGTGTTAGTCAGTCAGTGACTGGCTGCTCCTGTATGAGATTAGAACGATGCCGCCTTATCCCATAGTCCAGCCAATAATGCGATTCACATTCGTATATACGCAGATAATCAACGTCGTTGACAGGCTATGACAGCGTCCTTACGTGCCGACACCGGTGTTTTAGCTGGCAAAGTGGCTGATGAGGAGTGAAGCCACGTTAATAACAACGTGTACAACCATTGGAGATGTGAG